CATAGCTGTTCACGATATATCAAAGGATCTATGGATGTTACAAGCCGGACCGAAACACTTATTCTGCAAAATGCATAAAATCTGTGGAAATTTCAAAGGGCTGTACTTTCAAAACTGTTAAACATACAGACCTAATGTTCGGGATTTTTCCGTAAATTTGGTATTGGGGCACTTATTAATTTTTTCAGGGGAAACTGAGAGGGTGACCTGGGAATTTTTTCTCAAACTCGGTGATTTGATAAAGAATTTATCTGTTGAATATCATTGATTCTGATGGATATTTTGATCAAAATGCAATTTTTACTACAGACATGGTATTTAAAAATATTTTCTCTATCAAAACATTTTGCCACCGACAGACGAATCTTGTGACAAGACATTTGTCCGTGTCAGGACAGGTTGATGATCCCAGCTCTAGAATATTCCAATCAAGAAGTGTGATAATCCCACTGCAATCTGTACAGGCAGTAAGTGGGTTTGTTGGATGGACACTGAGAAATGGGAGAGTTCCTAAAGAATCACTTTATAATTTATACTAAATCCTCACTGTTTAGTTAGTGTTATAATGTTTATTTGATGAATTAATAATTTGAAAAAGAATTAATAATTTCTTAATGTGGAAGCAACATCTAAACATTATATTACATATAGGCAATGCCAGGAGATCCCAGTTCATTCACAACAGGCCAAAGATCTGGTACACATTCGCTTAACCATATCGCTAACAACATATTCCTGCGCGGTTCGCGTATGGACTACAACATTACGTCATTAATACGCGCGGACATGGGCATGACATGCCCCAGCATAAGCTTTTTGACTGTATGGATTCATTTACATTTAAATGAGAATCTTCACCAGAATCAGAATCTTTATTCGTCATGTACATTTTCTGATAAAGTCTTGTCTCGGTCTCCATGGTGACTCCGAGCCTTGGTATTACTGTAGTCTGTATTCGTGTATTAAACTATGTTACGTCTTTGACTGTGAACAGGTGTTCTGACGAGTTGAGCTACCTATCGAAACGTGCTATCGAGCCTTTCGGCGCATGTGCAGTT